GCTTACAGTTCAGACTGAATAGGACAGTATAATATCTATCCATCCATCCATCCATCCATCCATCCATCCATCCATCCATCCATCCATCCATCCATCCATCCATCCATCATCTTTACCTGCTTTTTCCTTTCCTGGTCACTGGTGTCCATGTCCACTGTGTCAGAGGTAGGAGACACCCTGGACAGGTCTCCAGTCCATCACAGTGACAAATAGAGACAACCATTCACTCTCTCACTCTCGCCTAGAGACAATTTAGAGCTACCAGTTTCATCATGCATGTTTTTGGTCAGTGGGAAACCAGCATGCCCACCCGCACATGCATGGAGAGAACATGCAAACTCCACCCAGAATGGTCCCCAGCTGGGATTTGATCCAAAAACCTACTAACTGAGAGGCGACAGCTCTACTAACTGTGTCCCATGTCAAACTAAATGTTTGATGAACTCCAAAACTAAAAGGTATTCTCTTGTATTTTACAAAATAAAAAAAAAATGCGCCAAAAGATGATTTTAATTAAATGGTGCTGAACTTGAAGCAAAAAATAAATAAATAAGTAAATAAATAAATGATAATACAGAACTGATTATAATTTTTCTATGTGAAAATATGAAATAAATCAAATGTTAAACACTCACAGCTCTTCAGCTAGCTGAGCGCTAATGTTCTGGTCATATTAACTATATCATATTGAACACCTGATGTTTGCATTTCATGGACCATTTAAAGCACATGCATTATGTCCCTTTTGACTTTCCATACATCCATGATATCCCTGCTGCTGTGGCTTAATGGGAAGTTTTTTCCCACAGCTGATCTGAAACAAACAGCTCCTGTGCTTCATCTGAACTCTTCTTGTTTTGCTTTGATCTGGAGTGCTTTAGAGAAGACTTTCCTATGTTCCTTTGATGTCAGAGCAATGATCAAAAAATAATTCAAACATATTCATCTTCCAAGTGATTACCTGGGACTAAAGTATTCTCTGTCTGGTTAGTTGTACAAACTGGACCATTACAGCCCTCAGATTTATAAAACGTTCTGAATAAATTAACTCTGATTCCTCTGGTTCTGACCTGGTGCAGCTGGCAGGTGATGTAGAAATTTGATGGATTTATGTAGTCAGGTTCCACGTAGGCGTCCACCAGAACCGTCTGACCCTCAATAACCAGAACACACTCGTACTCCAACTTTGGATCCTGGACACACACAAAACCAGGTTTGACACAAAGACAACAAACAGACCTCTGACAGGATTAACAGAAACTCTCAGGTTCTCGCAACCTGTCGGTGTTGCACCTGGTAGAGATGGAGGTTGCGAGCCAGTAAAGTGATCTTCCTCTTGATCCGGACAGGGAGCAGAGCAGAACCCTGGACCTTCTCCACACAGGGACAAGCTGAAGAACCCCAGCTGATGTAAGAACCTTCATCACCCTGTTGCTCAAAATCAGAGTATTAAGACTGAGTTGTTTTCCTCACAGTCTGGTTCCGTCTGCACACAAACCTTGACTCATTCTTCAAAAGATTCACTCATGTAAGAGGTGTTGGAGTGGAAAAAGAAAAGGAAAATGGGTAGTTTGTTCAGTTACATGAACTAAAGCAATTGTCCATAACATTATGACCAGTAACAGTGAGTCAACATTATGGGTTTGAGTCCAGTCAGATGGTGCCAAAAGCGGATTAAAAAAATAACTGAAAACAGACCATGAAGGGGAGAGAAGAATGGCCCGTGTTGTTAAACCCAACAGAACAGCTGCTGTAGCTCCAACTGAGAAGATTCCTGTTGGCTCTGACAAAAAGGTGTCAGAACCAACCAGAAGTGTGCTTGCTTGGGAAGTTCTACTTCGTACATGCTTTGCCCTTTAAGGCTATCGCAAGTGGGTTTATCCCCACGTGCCATGCTCAGCACTGAAAATTTTAGTCTACACCCACCTGCTGCATGGGCCCCACCCCTGGTCTGTATAAACTGCCCTGAGACCGGGGTTCGGCTCCCCTTTTTCTTAAGCCAGCAAGAAGCATAAGAAAACTAAAGATCAGAAGAAGATGTCCAGTGGAATCATCCACCCATGCCCAGCCCGCAGCACGGGACACATCCTCAGCTCCGATTTGCATGCTGTCTGTGAAGGCTGCCTCAAAGCAGAACATGTAGGTAAACTCTCGATATTTTTCGAGGTTTTCGGACCTTTCTGTCTCCAACTAGGAGTTAGCTAGCAGCCTCGATCCCTCCCTCTCAGTTGGAGGGCTGGAGAGAGAGCTGCCGCTGACAGGTGGATTTCCAGGCATCCCGATGTCAGCGACACCCCACTCCCAGCAATTGGCGTGATCATACATGTTCTGCGCGACATGTTCAGGAAGCGGCAAACATTACACCTGGCTGTGCCGGAGTTATTAACTTCTAACTCCAGATGACTCGGCAGAAAAATTTGCCATTCCTCACTTTAGCTGCCAAGATCCACTCTGGCCTCAGTTTTTAGCTGTGACAACGTACCCGTCAGGAGCATCTGTAGACCAGCTCAAACTGAGAGCACCTGTCTCCCCTGTTCCTCCTCTGGAGCCAAGCCTGACAGATGTTTTTCGGGATAAAAGTGGCTCAGCAAGTCGGATGACGGCTGAACCCCCACCCCCCAACAACTAGCTCACAGCCAGAATACATCATGTATACTGTATAATACATGTATACTGACAGAATACATCAGTGCACGACTCAGGCAGTTGCAATGACCAACAATGTGGCTATGCTAGTGTGAGCATTTACAAAAGAAATTAAAGTTGCAAGCAGCATTGGAGGCCCTCGCAGCAAAGCGCTGCTCCGGCCTTACGGCGACCGCGGGAGCTCCAGCTAGTCCACCCAGTTGCCATTGCGAACTCTCGTGCCAATCCCACACGCGTTCGCCACTGGGTGCATTTCCCGTCAGTACTTGTCCAGCTTCAGGTCTTACAAGTATAGGCGAAATCCGACCTTCCAGACACGAGTTATTGTGACTTGCTGTTTTGTGGCTAATGTTTGACGAGCACTTCCTTTATGCTTTTCAACATGTCATGTGTGGTAATTAACAGTTAGTGAACAAAGTTTCAGTCTAATATCTTACACAGGGCGAAGCTGGAAGAGTCATCCAATAATCAACAGTTTTTTCTCTGAGTAGGTGGGGCTTAAGTGATGTCATGAATCAACAATACCAATGTGTCTACAAGTGCTCACTGATGAAGCACAAAAAAATCAGGTGCAGATCAGATGATGTATCACTAAGATATAACTGTAGGAATAATATAATGAGCGCTGTGTATGCTACTAGCCACTTATCATGGATTCCTGTTCAAAGTGTGGATAATGATCGATCATACTGATTTTGGTGCACCTCGGTTCAAATCTGTGGAATTTATAGCCAAACGTATTGCAACGATGTCACTTCTGAATTCGTCATGCCGCCACGCCCACATCCTCCTTCGAAACCTGTTTGTAATTTAAAGTAAGTCAGACCAACTTGTTATTCGTCTTCTAACACAGGATCATCCTGATTAGGTCAAGGGTGTCAGAGAGGGAGTATTCCAAGTAAAAAAGTGACTTCCTGTTCGGAGGAGGCAGGGCTTTGATGACATCAGAATATGACCACAGAAGATTGTCGGGTATCCAACAGGGATGACTCATGCCAAGTTTGGTACATTTCGGTCTTTCAATGTGAAAGTTATAGCGTTTGGAAATTTATGGCATGAAGCGCAACTTTGAGGCCTGGCCACGCCCCTTTAACATATACGAAAACGCAAGCTTTTGATAACTTTTACTCCCCAATGTGTGTAGGAGCTATTAAGAGTTTCGTTTTTCATGGCGAGATGTCAAACTTTGAGGTCTGGCCTCGCCCCTTCAGCATGCTCCGAAACAAACTTTTTAGATAACTTTTCGTCCCTCATGCCTTTTGAACAAAATGGCCAAGTTTGAAACCGATTGAGCAAAATCCCTAGGAGGAGTTTGTTCAAATTCGGAGGCTGTAAACCACCAAAAAGGTATAAAAATTGGGATGGCATTCCAAAATGGCCACCTTCCTGTTTATCGTACAACGTTAGTGCCAGAGAGTTTTCTGTGCATCTTGGGGAATTGGACAAGTGTACCAAATTTGCTTCTATGACAAACTAAGGTTAATGCGGAGGGTATTTTGAAAATTTCTAGGTGGCGCTCTTGAGCCGTTTCTGTTGCGATTTTTGCGATGCCCTTAAAATATGTAATTTTTCAGCAGTCCTGATGCGTCCGCCAAATTTGGTGAGTTTTGGGATATGTTAAGGCCCCCAAATGGTCAATACATTTGCCAAAAAAATTGCAGCTCGGGCCTGAACAGAGCGATTACAATAGGCCTTCGCAGCGCTTCGCTGCTCGGGCCTAATAAAGAGCTGAACCTTCCATCAGAGGATCGGGATGGGTTCTGTAATGTAGCAGAACCATGTTCGAATTTATGGCGGCTCAGGCCGTCTGCACTGCCCGAGTCATGACCTGGGCGACAGTGCTGCAGCATCAGATGTGGCTTCGTCTCTCCTCTTCCATCCCCGAGGAGCTGGAAATAAAGCTGCTGGAGGGGCCCATCAGTCCAGACGGACTGTTCAGCTCCCACTTTCAGTCGGTGCTGGACCAGATGCAGTCATCCTCAGACGCTCTGGAGCAAGTCCGAAAGCATGTGATCCGAACTCGTTTAGACCCCCACCCTCCCCGAGCACCTTGCCAATGACAGGAGTGCTGACATCAGCAATAACTTCAAAGACACTCCACAGCCACAGGTGCGTCTTCCTGGGCCCCACTTGCAGACACCTTTGGAACACGGTCACAGCCTCCACAGCAGCCCAGCTTCCATTGAAGTACCAGAGGTCATCATTTGGCTTGCTCATGTCCAACTGGCACAGGAGACATAGTGAAGACGTCAAAAGAAATGACTTGGGGGGGGGGGGGGGGGGATGTGTGTGACAACAATGTTGTTGAAAGTTTTGAAATAAAACACCAAATTCAATCTAAGAGCAGAATCCTCAATGGTCAAGTCATACAATCCTGCTGTTTTTTCCTCACACACACCCTCTGCACAGAATAAAACAGTAACTTTTAAACAGACATTTAAAAGGCACCCTAATTTCACTGCCTCCAAGCAGCACAGAGCTCCTGCTTCCTCTCTCCAGACCAAATTAAAGGAACTTCTGATGAAGAACGTCATTCCCAGGGTTCCTCGCGGGGAGGAAGATACAGGCTTCTACTTCTGATACTTCCTGTTACCAAAAGACATGTGGGATGAAACCCATTTTGGATCTGTCTTTTTTCAACAATTACATCATGAAAGGAATTTTTCACATGATGACAATCAAACGGGTACTGGAATGCATAAGACAATATGACTGGTTCATCTCTGTAGATCTGAAAGATGCTTATTTCCACATCCTGATCATCCACAGACATAGGGAAGTCCTGCATTTTTCCTTTGAGGGAGTCCAGTACGAGTATAAACCTCCCCGTTTGGCACTTGATCGCCCCCTGCACCTTTCCTGAATGCGTAGAAATGGCCCTGCAACCTTTATGCATGGCGGGAATGATGATTATTTTTATTTGGATGACCTTTTTCTGCTGGCTCAGTCCAGCGAAGAGGCAGAAGTACAACAAAGATGTTGGTGACACATCTGTCTTATCTGGGATTTCATAACGAATTGGGAAAAAAGCTAGATTTTCTCCTCCCAGCTCATTATTTATCTGGGAGTGGAGTTAAATTAAGTCCCCATGACAGCCCACCTCTCACAGCCTAGAAGGGAAAGAAACCCTGACGTCACTGCTCCAGCGTGTCAAAATTCACAGATCAGTGACTGCTCCATCAATCACGCACCTGTTGGGCATGATGTTAGCAGCGCACGTACTGTAGTTGGGCTTGTTAAACAGGAAACGCCTGCAGAGATGGTTCAATCGTCTCTGCATCGACCCCATGCATCACAAACGACATGCAATACCATTCCCCTGTGTGTAGAGGCAGACATGAGTCACTGGGGAAACCCCCAGATCCTGCTATAGGGAGTTCCCCTGAACAGAACAACGTCATATTTCCATGTTCAGTGAAGCGTCCCTCCAGGGATGGGGGGATGGGCCTGTCCCAAATGGTGGGAGGGAATTGGCCAGCCCACACGTCTTCATTCCTATCTGGGGCAGAGAGAGAGAGAGAGAGTTCCCCTGTTCTATTCCAGCTCATTGTTTATCTGAAGTGGAGCTAAACTCAGCCACTAAGATCTCTCTTGTAAATGAGCCCTCGGGATTCAATGAAATTAACCTGTATAAAAAAAGGTTGAATGAATGAAAGTACAGCTTCCCAGCTCAGTGACAGCTCTGTCAGTTACGCACCTGCTCAACATGACGTCAGCAGTGCATGTGGTGGTTCCATGGCCCTGCTGCACAGGTGACTCTGCAGAGATTATCCAGCCGGATGGAGCTCCTTACAGTGTGGAAGGTGGTCTGACACTTTGCTCCACTGCTGCTACATGCATGTGCTGATGCTCATAGACAGCTGTTGTGCTGGGCGCACGCCCACAACTACGCTTTATTAGTGAACCTGCTAGTCAAACGAGAAACGCTCAGTGCGAGCTCTGGTTCTCACCGAGCATGGATGCGTTCGCACGCCGCTGTGACAGAACAGAAAGCTTTAAGCGTTCCCTTCAGTCCCGCTGATCCCGCACCTCTTGGACCACGTGTGGGAGGAACAGCTGAGAGTAATTTTGACGGATCCAGAGCGCACGGGCACGTCATGGTTCCCGTGCCTGCAACGGCTGTTACCAGATCACCAGTGGCCACTGCCATGGCGAGAAGATTCTTCTTACAGGTGGAGGAATGATCAGGAACTTCTCGGTGTTAAGTCAGCGCCTCTGGTCTGACGGCTGAACGGAAGCGCTTAGGAAGAATAGGTCTTCCCCAGGATGTGGTGAGCTCGATTCAGAGTGCACGAGCCGCTCCACTACAGTTTGTTACACATCTAAGTGGACAGTTTCCACGATGGTGTGTGGAGAAGGGAGTGGATCCCATTTTTGGTGTCCTCTGAGCTGCATATTATTTCTCTGCAGCTGCTGATGGACAGAAACCTGGCTTTCAGCACGATCAAAATGTTCGCTGCAATCTTTTTTCCTCCTGTCATGAGGACTTTAATGACAGGACGATTTTCAATCATCCTCTAATGAAATGTTTCCTGAGGGGTGTGTTTTTGTCACTTAAAACTGCCCTGCTGTTAGCTCTGACATCAGCAAAGAGAGCGAGTGATTGTCAGCTGTGTCTGTGCCTCCTTCATGCTTCAGAATCCAAGGAGATGGGAGCTCTGCTGTGCTTCGCCCAAACAGAGCTTTTACACCTAATAGTATCAAGTTAGTTTCAATCTAGTTATACGATGGATTATTTTTTTCCCCTCCACATAACTATGAGGAGGAATCAATTTCCCATTTGTTTTTCTCAGTGTGTGCGCTCGTCTGTTATGTCACGTGCACAGTCACATTATGTAAATCTGAGGACGTGTTTGTGTTTTTTCAGAAATCAGTCACAAGGACAACCATTGTCTGCCAGCACCTGTCACAAAAGTTGTGAGGCTGTGTCCCAGGTATATATTTCTTCTGGACTCCAGCCTCCAGACAGGCTTAAGGCTCGTTCTACTAAAGGAATTTCAGCTTCCACGGCCGTGCACGGAGGAGTATCAGTGCAGGATATTACTCTGCGGCTTCTTGGTCCTCACCGGTCACTTTCATCCGTTTTATTTATGTGATTCCTCCAGTTTCTCACTGACCCACTTGGTTCTCAGAGTTTTATCTGAGTGACAACACAGTTGTTCTCAATGAAGTTCTCCAATGTGCTCGTTCTCACAGCAGCAGGTGTTTTGTCACCCCAGCTTCAGAGTGATGCAGAGATTATGCTCCTCTCTGCTATTCAGCGTGTACCAGGTGCACAAACTCGGTGGTTCATAATTACGCATGAGCCTAGGTTCAACATGTTCATAAATATAAGCATGTATCTGTGTGACTGCAGTTCCGGACGGACCCAGTGAGGCATAGACTACATCCTGCTTTGCCTTTAACCCACTAGAGATTGCCTTAAAGGGCTGCGCCTATACTCAAAGAATCTGGGGTTACAATACGTAACCAACAATTCAATACCTTCTGCTGGTTTCCTTATAACTTTTACCAGGTGACTTTTATAATGTATGTAAATGTTTTTGTTCAATGTACTGAGACAACTGCTGTGAATCGGAGCTTTATAAATAAACTGAATTGAATTTTATTAGAATCAACAGAACATCCAGTGCAAGGAGCTGACAACATTCTCCATATATCACACCAATCAAGAATCTGTGGCACATTCTGACTCATGGAGATCCCAATTCATAACTTCCAGGACATTAAGTACCTACTGTGGACGGGTTAGAACAAGAAACCACAGGAAATCTTCAGAGGAGTTCTGGAGGACACTCATCAGAAGGAGGACGGTGTCAGAGTTCGGCAGCTGGTCATAATGTTATGCCATTTTTTTCCGTGATACAAAGTAAAGCAGACCATTACTCTGAGTCCAACAGCACAAAGAACTGAGCCACAAGGAGCAGGGGCAGAACCTCAAGCTAGAGTGGGATCTGGGACAGAAGAAGAAGAAAGAAGGAAGGATGACAGAGGCACGAGTGGAACTCACCGGGAGAAAACTATCAGCCTGATCATTCTGGTAATCTATTTCTGGTTCTGAGTCCGGCTCCATCATTTGTGTGTAAGAGGGGGGTTCATGTTCCACTTCCCCATCACCTGAGAGCACTGTGGGGGCTGAGAACATAGCTGTGTCATTTTCTGCAGCTCCCTCAGCCAGGCTCTCAGCTTCTGACCACAGCAGGACTGGGGAGGCGGTGCCCCCCGCCTCACTCGTGGAGGCCAGCAGTGTGGGGATCTGGGTCAGGTCCAGGTTGAGAGGGGGCCTGGAGTCAGCTGCTTCATCTTCAAAGAAGGGTGTGGGCAGGGGGAAGTTAGACGAGGCCAAGGTCAGGGGCTCTTCCAGGCTCAGGGCCCCCTCCACTTCCTGAGCGTCGTTGTGAGGTGAGCCCGTCACCACCTCCAAGGTGGGGGTATCTGAGATCAACAAGGGCATGACTGGCTCGAGATCTCCGCTCAGACCGTCGGCCCCGGTGACGGGTGTTGCCTTTGCTGTTGCCATAGCAACGCTGAGTGTGACCGCAGAATCTTCAGGTCCTCTCTGGGTGACGACAACCTGCTCCCATGCCGCAGTGGCATCCTCCGTCCTGCTGGTTGTGCTGGGGGGTGGGGGGGTGCTGGGGGGCTGAACGGAAGGTCGAGTGGTCGGCTCTGCACCGGGGGGAGAGGTTGGTGGCTCTGAGGTGGTTGCTATGGTGACAACAGTTGTTGTAATGAGGGAAGCTGATGTTGTCGGAACAGGAGTTGTAGATGTGACGACTTTAAGAGTTTTGGTGGTGGGAGGAGGTGAGGTAGGGAGTTTAAACTGGAGAGGAGAGGGTGTGAGGTGAAGAGGGGGCACAAAGAAAAAAAACAGAAAAATAACAACAAATGAAACGTGTTAAAGCACACCGAAGGAACATGAACAGCAATGATTTGTTACAAACAAGTTCAACCAGAGAGGAAAATGAGTTGAAATGTTTCAGCTTCATGGAAAACTTCAGGTTCTGCTGGAGAACCCGGTGTGTGTTAGAACTTTAATCAGCTGGAGAACAATCTGATGGGCTTACTCAGGAAGTTTAAAGGAAACCCTGAAGGTTTTCTTCAAACCGTCCTGTTTAATTCTGAGTCACCTTGACCAACACAGAAACATCTTTCTGAGGAGGTTCTGCCCACGGGGTTCTGCTGTGCTGGTACCTGACTGTCCAGCTGCAGATTGTTTGACGGTGACTTACATGTTGGTTGTAGATGATCACTCCATCCTCACAGATGGGCTTGTGGGTACACAAGTGTTGGTGAACACACCAGTTACAGCCCCACTTGCTCAGAACACACCCCCGGCAGCTGCACAGAGAGACAACAACACGTCTTGGTGAGAGAGACACAACACATCAAGGTCCAACTGTTTCTGCAAGCTGGGGACGACACTAGACACCAAACAGAGATTGAAAACACAAGAAGAGCTTAGTCAGCCACTGTTAATCAATTTTCAACAATCTCTAGGTAAAAACAAGCAGTACTCTGATGTCCCCCATCACTGAGGGATTACTGTGCCTTGTGAAAGTATTTGTCCTCCTTGAACTTTTCAACCTTTTGCCACATTTCAGGCTTCAAACATAAAGATATAACATTTTAATTTTTTTGTGAAGAATCAACAACAAGTGGGACACAATCGTGAAGTGGAATGAAATTTATTGGATGTCAAACTTTTTTAACAAATAAAAAACTGAAAAGTGGGGCGTGCACTATTATTGGGCCCCCTTGCGTTAACACTTTGTAGCTCCGCCTCTTGCTGCAGTTCCAGCTGCAGTTCCAGCTGCAAGTCTCTTGGGGTTTGTCTCCATCAGTTTTGAACATGGAGACACTGAAGTTCTGCCCATTCTTCCTGCAGAACAGCTGGAGCTCAGTGAGGTTGGATGGAGAGCGTTTGTGAACAGCAGTCTTCAGCTCTTTCCACAGATTCTGGATTGGATTCAGGTCTGGACTTTGACTTGGCCATTCCAACACCTGGATACGTTTATTTGTGAACCATTCCATTGTAGATGTGTCTTTATGTTTTGGATCATTGTCTTGTTGGAAGATAAATCTCCGTCCCAGTCTCAGGTCTCTTGCAGACTCAAACTGGTTTTCTTCCAGAATGGTCCTGTATTTGGCTCCATCCATCTTCCCATCAATTCTGACTATCTTCCCTGTCCCTGCTGATGAAAAGCAGGCCCAAACCATGATGCTGCCACCACCATGTTTGACAGTGGGGATGGTGTGTTCAGGGTGATGAGCTGTGTTGCTTTTACTCCAAACATATCGTTTTGCATTGTGTCCAAACAGTTGGATTTTGGTTTCATGTGACCAGAGCACCTTCTTCCACATGTTTGGTGTCTCCCAGGTGACAAACTTTAAACAACACTTTTTATGGATATCTTTGAGAAATGGCTTTCTTCTTGCCACTCTTCCATAAAGACCAGATTTGTGCAGTGTACGACTGATTGTTGTCCTATGGACAGACTCTCCCACCTCAGCTGTAGATCTCTGCAGTTCATCCAGAGTGATCATGGGCCTCTTGGCTGCATCTCTGATCAGTCTTCTCCTTGTTCCAGATGAAAGTTTAGAGGGACGGCCGGGTCTTGGTAGATTTGCAGTGGTCTGATACTCCTTCCATTTCAATACGATTGCTTGCACAGTGCTGCTTGGGATGTTTAAAGCTTGGGAAATCTTTTTGTATCCAAATCCAGCTTTAAACTTCTCCACAACAGTATCTCGGACCTGCCTGGTGTGTTCCTTGGTCTTCATGATGCTCTCTGCACTTTGAACAGAACCCTGAGACTATCACAGAGCAGGTGCATTTATACGGAGACTTGATCACACACAGGTGGATTCTATTGATCATCATCAGTCATTTGGGACAACGTTGGATCATTCATAGATCCTCACTGAACTTCTGGACTGAGTTTGCTGCACTGAAAGTAAAGGGACCCAATAATATTGCACGCCTCACTTTTCAGTTTTTTATTTGTTAAAAAAGTTTGACACATCCAATAAATTTCATTCCACTTCACGATTGTGTCCCACTTGTTGTTGATTCTTCACAAAAAATTAAAATTTTACATCTTTATGTTTGAAGCCTGAAATGTGGCAAAAGGTTGAAAAGTTCAAGGGGGACGAATACTTTCGCAAGGCACTGTAGCTGGGTGACGGCCCGAGGTAAACTAAATGCTAAAACCAAGTCCCCGGTTCACCATCGACCCGTTCACATTTCGAATGATGTTCCCAAAGAGTATTCTTCTGTTTTAAATCACATTTCTAATCAGTTTCCTCCACTTAGCAACCCTGAACCACAGGCCTGCCGAGTATCGGCCCAAAGTAAGCCCAAGGGTGCATTCACACCAGCCCTGTTTAGTCCGCTTTAATCGAACTCTAGCTCGTTTTCCTAGAAAGTCCGGTTCGTTTAGGGAGGTGTGAACGCACCATCGAACTCTGTCACGGAACAAAAAGGTGAACTCTGGCCAGGGCTAAAACCTAGGTCTCGGTCCGGTAGAAGAGAACTCCAGCACGGTTCGAGTACAGTGTGAATGTAAACAGACCGGGACCCGCTCCGCAGGGTAAACAAACGCACATTTCTCTTATATGGAGCCGTCAGCTGCCTTGTGTGGAAAAACAATATTCTCCATGGTCTTCTGTCTCATCTTCTGCTCATGCTAAGTCCATTTTTGAAAAATTACAAAATATAACTCCTAAAACTGCTAAAACTTGATGCCACTTCATTTTTATTTTTATTTACAGAAGAAGAAGAAGACGTGTCTTCAGAGGTTTTGTGTTGTTTCTTTCAATAGTTCTTGGTGCAGCGCCCCCACAGGCGAGCGGGGGAACAGGTTGGTTCAACAGGTTGGTTCAACAGGTTGGTTCAACAGGTTGACTCGACTGCACAGAGCAGTGTGAATGCAAACGCACCAGCTCAAATGTAACAAAAGGTCATGAATATTGGTCCCGAACCGAGTCTACCGGACTATCTGGTGTGAAAACGACCCAAAGCTAAAACTAAACCGTCAGCTAACCACCGATTTGTTCACGTTTCAAACCAGTTTCCTCCACTCAACTACCCTGAACCGCTTGGTCCATTACAGACCTATATCTAATCTAACTGTCATCTCAAAAATTCTACAGAAAATACAGAAGTTGCTGGTCAGTGACATGATCATCTGCAAAGAAATAATCTGTTTTGAAGAAATTAATTTACTGAACTTGGCAAAAAGGCCTTTTCCTACTCAGCTCCTGAACCTGGAACACCTTCCAACAGGAACTGAAGTTGTCCTCCTTGATTTCTTTAAGGGGTTTCAAACATTTCATTATGTCAACAGAAAAATCAAAGCAAATGTGGTCTTGTTTTTAATATTTCACCATGTTTTGTGGCACCCTGATTTATTGTTTTATACACTACTCTTACTTTAACTGCATTTTTTACTGTAGTTTATTGTTGTCATTGTTTATTGTTTTGTTGCCTGTACGTTACATGTTCTGTCTGGAACAGGCGCCTCTTGTAAATGAGTCCTTGGGGCTCAATGAGGCTAGGCTGTATAAGTAAAGGTTGAATGAATGAAGAGTTTCAGTCAGGTTTTAGAGCTCACCTCAGACAATGGACTTGTGTCTCTACTGGTCCTGTTAGACCTCAGTGCTGCATTTGATACAGTTGATCACAATATTTTACTACAGAGACTTGAATATGATGTTTGAATTACAGGAGCTCTAAAATGGTTTAAATCATATCTATCTAATAGATTCAAATTTGTAAATTTAAATAATGAATCTTCATCATACACCAAAGTTAGTCATGGAGTTCCTCAAGGTTCAGTGCTTGGACAACTACTCTTTACCTTGTATATCCTTCTATTAGGTAAAGTTATTAAACAGCATGGGATACATTTTCATGATGACACACAATGATATTTCTCCATGAAACCCATTTAATCCAATCAGTTACTTACATTACAAGCATGTCTTAAAGACATAAAAACCTGGATGAATCTAAATTTTCTGCTTTTGAACACAGACAAGACTGAGGTTTAATATTTTGAACTTGAGCATCTTAGGAATTAATTTTTCAGTCTTTCTCCCTCCTTAGATGCATTAATCTGGCCTCAAGCTCTAACGTTAAAAATCTTGGTGTTATTTTTGATCAGAACATGTCTTTTGTCCCCCACATTAAAAATGTTACAAGAACCGCCTTCTTCCACCTGCGTAACACTGTTAAAATTAGAAACATCTTATCTAAAAATGATGCAGAAAAACTGGTCCATGCATTTGTTCACGGATTCAAGGTTCTTTATTGTCATTCACATAACATGTGGTACATGAAGTGGAACGAAACTATAGTCAAGTCATATCAAATGTATTTAAGAACACAGATCCACCACAATTTCAAGCTTCACTGGTCTAAGGGGGACGCCCCAAGACCAGGCATGGGCAAACACCGACCCTTTAGTTGGCAGCTCAGAACACCACATACAGAACACCATGGACTTTGTGGACAAGGTGAGGGATGTCATCATGGAGACTGATGAAACAATGGTCTCTTTTGATGTCACATCACTCTTTACGTGCATTCCTGTTGATGATGCAGTAGAGGTGGTCAGTTTAAGATTAAAATCAGACACCACTCTGAGCAGCAGGACCACACTTCCCACAGAGCAACTGTGTCAACTCTTGAAACTGTGCCTGCAGTCAACCTACTTCACATATGGGGAGCAATATTATAGGCAGAAACATGGGTGTGCTGTGGGGTCTCCAGTTTCTCCTATTGTTGCCAACCTGTACATGGAGGAGGTAGAAAAGAGAGCCTTGACGTCCTTTTCAGGGACACCACCAAGTCATTGGTTCAGGTATGTTGACGACACCTGGGTTAAAATTAAATCTCAGGAAGTCCAACATTTTACTGACCACATCAACTCTGTGGATAAATACATCAAGTTCACACGAGAAGATGAAAAAATGGCAGGTTGGCTTTCTTGGACTGTGAGGTCTCAGTCTCTGATAGAGGACATTTGCAAACTGAGGTGTACCACAAACCCACCCACACAGACCAGTATTTGCAGTTTGACTCCCATCACCCTTTGGAGCAGAAGTTAGGAGTCATCAGGACTCTGTACCACAGAGCAGACAGCGTCCCCACTAGCTCAGGAGCCAGGCAGAAGGAGAAATCCTACACAAGACAGGCTCTAGAGCAATGTGGATATCCTAACTGGGCCTTCCTGAAAGCAGAGAAGAAACCCAAACAGGACTCCAGTCGGTCATGTTTGGGTGCATGCAAGGCGCTGTTGAACATTCGGGAAATGCACCCTGTGGTGAACACGTGC